GGATGATTCGTTGCACACGTGGATATCGCGCCACGCTTTTTGACATGATAGGCATGAGGTGCGTCCGCAGTCGGGGCTTTGACAGGTGAATTTGAGGCCTCGACGACGTCGGCGGTGACGGTTGACTGACTTTGTCCATTCGACTGAGACGTAGTCACCAAAGGACTGTGTGCTGAGGACGAGACAGATGATTGACGAGAGAACCACGACGGGGAAGAGAAACGGGATAGTGCCGATACAAAGGGCGAGGAAGAAGAGATTGTAGATGCTGCCTGATTTTATGCGAAGGGCGGAATCGGCAGCTGGAGTGTAGATGTCGTCTATCTCGGCGTAATCGCAGAAAGGGCAACGAACAAGAGGGAGGTTTGAAGCCAAGAGACTGTGCTCTGCAAGTCGACGATCAAGTCTATGCAGAATATCGGCACCCATCTTTTCCTCTTCCATAGCTCGGCGAATATGATCCGGTGGAATGTGTCCAGGGCATCCGTCGCCGTCTGAAGATAGACACTTGAGAGTTCCAGTTTCCGGGTTTATGCTGCTGTTCCAGCCTTGACCGAAGACAGCCTCTTTGATAGAATGCTGCACACATCGGAAACACACCATGTGTCCTTCCCGGTTGCAATGCGTAAACTCTTCAAACGCAGCAGAGATGTAGCAGCACACACACTCGTGCGTCGCTTCCGCCTCTTCAGCTTCTTCGTTGTTGAGTATCATGGCCAACCCTCTGTCTCTGCCTTCCCTATCCTTCTTGTCCTTTTCCTTGAGCGGGGCAACCAACGTATCGTATAACTCTCGGTCCAGCTCGGCGCTGCCTGTCGCTCGAATCGTGGGGATTATAGAACCTTGACCGGTCGACCGCCATGATACCAACGGGTGGTTTTCGGATTCGCCCGTCGCGATGGGCTTTCGTCGAAAGAAGAGGGCTGATATCGTGAACCTCCATGACTTGGACGACAGAGTAACAAGCGTCTGCCGGGCCTCGAGATACGAATAGTTGGATTCTGCGAGAACAGCATTTATCGTCGACCGCGACAAACCCTTGAACTCGTGCCATGCCAGCTTCTGCACCGCCTTTTTGTACTCCTTGCTCTTGAACACCTCTGCCTTGGGCACCTGCCCCGGCCTCACCTCATCAGCAACCCTCCACCGCCCCTTGACCCAAGCGACCCTATTCTTGAGCAACGCGTCCGCCACGAGCGCGAGCCGCGACTCGCCGTCAAAATTCCGCAGCAGCTCCCGAAACACCTCGACCTGCACGTCGGGAAACGCCGCGGCCAGCGCCTCGAGGCTGGCGTTGAGCTCGCGGAGGTCGGGCCGCTCGGGCGGGGCGGTCGCGAGCTGGGCCTCGTCGTAGATGTACTCGGGGTCCGGCTCGCCCGCCCGGGACCGCGTCGAGGGCGTCCTATCGCTGGAGGAGAGTAGCCCGGGGAAGACCATCGTGGATGCTCATACTGCACTCGAGTGCGGTGAGTGAGAGAATGTTGTTTGGGGGAGGATTAGGTAAGGGTGAGGCGACTGCCTTGAGCCTCGCAGGGCTGAGGCGCAGGTGACTCTGACGCGGAAGGTGTGAATTTCCTAATCGGGATATCGGAGTAATATCACTATTCTTGTAAGTCGCACTCTGCTTGAATAGCAATTTTGATTGATATTGAATTATTTAATGCATGTGGCTTGGCGAGTGATATCACAATACTTGGAAACACGTGGTGCGAGGTCGCGGAGCAGTCTGGCTGATGGCGGTGGGCGCAAACCGCAAAAACGCCGACATCCAGCCTGGGCGTCCACGCTGCACCAAGGGAGTTGCTGGAAAGCATTATACACTGGCCTAATGCACAGGAATACACTGAAGGGCAGGAGGCAAAAATTAAGGCGCACCGAGTGGTGGGCGAGGTGGGGGGTCAAGTCCAAGTCTCAACACCAAGACCGTCATCACAACGCACCACAATACCATCAACAACAGCAAAAAAAGAAGGGCCTGACCGGGGTTTGAACCCGGGACCTCGCACATTTTCTCTAAGAGAACTGGGGGATTGCCCGAAGCACGAATCACGTTAAGGATGTTAGTTTTGATGTTCTCGATGTTGTGGTGTGTTGTTGAAGAATGTAACTTACTACCACTAGACCATCAGGCCGGTCGTTGTTGAAGTGGCGTTGGTTTTCATGCACTATAAGGGCACCAGCTGCTGCATCCGAGGAGACATAATACCAAGGACTCTTTGAGCTTGTGCTGGAGCCGAGAGAGTCTGATCCTTTCTGTCCAAGGACACTCCACCACACCAACCTTGACTGTGACTCGGTTCCATATTAGTCAGACCGGATGACTAAGTATGTGGACCTTCCGGCCAGCCTCTGGCTGCCTGGGCTACTGGGCTCACGATTTCTCTTTTGCATTTTGGCATCTGTGACTACAGTCCACACCAGGACATGCCGATTTGTAGCCTCCATGGCTTGATACTACGTACCACATTTTAAAAAAGAGACAATTTGTTTTATCAGCCAATAGTCAATTCATTACTCTCATTGGCAGGCGAGACAATCTGTTGGCCCTTCATGTCAGCTCCCCGCCTGCACTTGTTACCTCCACTGAACCCAGCTGCGTGCCATATTAGAATCCTCCTACTTAAACAAACTTTGTGTGATACCTAGAGAGACAGGCATCGTTGACGGCATACAATAAGGAAGGCTGCTCTGGTCATTCAATTCTTCAACTGGCTGTATAATGCATATTTTACTCTGCTACTTCTACTTAAGAACGTTGCCCTTTAACCAGCCGGAACACAGCTGCCGAAAGTGAAATCGATGCCTTGAATTGATTGCCCAATTTCCATTCTGCGTTAATGTTGCCTGTGTTTGGTTCCTCTGTTCGCGAGGCGCCTGGAGTGTGCTGAAAGATAGCACTTAAAAACCTTAGCTTTGAGGGCAGATCAAGTCTTATATCACCACCATCCCTCATGGCTCTTGGAACCATGTCAATTCCTCAGGCTATGAGTAATGGCAAACACGGCGTAGGCTAGAAAACGTTTGCTGATGAGAAGACCTATGTGAAGAGAACAAAGAAGCGCAAGCGCTCAGTCATCGCTAAGCAAACTACATATTCCACCTTTACTACCAAGAAAACACCAGGGACACACGGAGTTTACCTGTAAATGATATCCAATCGCTCCTGGCGTTTATATTCATACCTTGACTTAACTAACAAGAACCCGACCCGAAGCTCTCAAAGTGAGTCAGTCATACTTGACATCTGCAAGACACTGTTGCGCAATGGGATCTTTGCTCGCGTTTCCCTGAATCTGTGTCCATCTATCGATCGTGTCGATGAAGTTGAATCAAGCTCCATAGTTGCTGGCAATCTCCACGCCCAGCCGCAGATCATTGGCCATCCATGCGTTCGTAGAAAGAAAATATAAGAAATAAAATACTTAAAGATTTATGATATTATTCCTCATTCTTATCTCTCATTTGGGATAAAATTTGGTTATTTTGTGAGTATTCTTTGCCGAGTGTAGATGTTCTGGTGTCTCCAGGTTTTCCACGTCTGGGTGCTGGTGGCTTCAAGTTCACGTAAGAGAAGAAACAACACACTTTAAGGCCTCTGGTGCTGGCGGATTTTGGCAAGACAGGATTGCGCGATTGGATATTAGCTCGCGTTCCCTTGGGTTTGTATTCACTTTGTTTGACAGATCATGTCGATGAAGTTGAATTAAGCTCCATGGTGGGCAGCCATCTCCACAACCGCCATCCAAGCTTGCATCCCCGTCGTGTCCATCTTTTCAACAACACCGCATGCGAAACTGTGAGTAAAATTGCTATTTTACATGCGAGGAAGCCATTTGAAAAAGAAGAACTAGAATATAAATCGAGTAACAAGAGAGCTCGGTGGTGATACATGTGGAGCATTCACGAGCGAGAGAGCCGAGAGGATAGTAAAGGTGCAATGCCGGATGAGGGAGATGCAATCATTATCCCTGAAAAGGACAAAAAAGAAAAAAAGAATTAGCGATGCCTGGATTCGAACCAGGGACCTTTCCCCGTGACAAGGTCATCAAGACGGCAATCTGCGTATTGCTAGCGGGAACGGACTGTCTGCGTGCTACCGGCGGGAGTGGTGGTCTTTTCATTCTCGGCACGAAGCCGGTTTCGTCAACATGAGTTGCCGGGGAACGCTCTAACCACTGAGCTACATCGCCTTTTTGTTGAGAACGGAATCGCTTTCATAATATATAAGGATATGTGGTAGCCAATGGTGGAAGGATTTGGGGAGTTAGCCCCATCGGTATCCTAAGTCTTAGGATGAGGTGCAGTAACCTCCCCGTGCGTGGGGTTCGTAACAGACTGCCCACACCGGAGCAGAAAGCGAGACCTATGAAGAAGTTACAATAACATGGTTGCGACTTAATGAGAGCCAGGGGGCGAGCCCATAGGCTGGTTGACGATAGGTGCCCTCGAGGGAGCCTCGACGACCCAGGCACCCCGACCAGACTTTGGGAAGGAGCAGGTCACGCCTTCCCATCCACGTCGCCCCTCGCGCACCTTCCGTCCCAGACGGGGACCACAACGTGATGAAAAATTTCTTCTCCTACCAGAATTTCCAGCCCATTCTCCTCTCACCAAAGATCTCGTTCGACCGAAAACCACAACCACCAACACAAGCATATTCAACACCCCATGGTCGACAACTGGAGATTTTCGTCAAGTACTGGCCGCTGGCGGGCACCTAGGTACACACGACGGCCTATCTATGGTGCCTCGCCGGCGGCCAACTCCATATTCGGGATCATACCTCTCGGTGTGTACCGCTCCCTTCCCTTGACCACCACTGCCCCCCCAATTCCCGTCGTTCGTGTCACTTCCTTTACACCAAGGTGCCCGCCACCTCATCGAGTTGGTGCGTTCAGATGAGCTAACCGTGATCTAGCACACAATGAGCAAGCCTTCACTCCTCTCAAGGTACTATGATTGTGTCTAACACAGACTTAGGCTCCACAACCAACAACGTGATGCTCGGGGGGGGGGGGGGGGGGGGGAACTTGGATCTTTCCAAGCTCACCCCAGCCCAGCTGCACGCGTTGGGCGCTGGGTTGGCAGGCCGGCCCAGTGGGCCGGCTGCCGGGGTCACCAAGACCCAGACGACTGCCCAGCCTGTAAGTATAAATGCCTTTTGTTTTGTTTTTTCAGCAGTGACTCACTGTCAGATAGGGGCTTGGCACCTCGAAGTTCGCCCGGGCCCGCCGGGAGAAGGCGGCCGCCAAGGCTGCCTCCTCCTCCTCCTCCTCCACCACCTCCGTATCCACCTCCTCTGCCTCCGCCGAGAAGGAGGCTATCCGGCCCGCTTCCGCCGCCGAGGTCCCCGAGTCCGAGCCCGAGCCCAAGCCCGAGGCCGCCGCCGCCAAGTCCTCCGAGGCTGTGCCCGAGGTTGCAGTCGATTATATCGACTGCAACCTCGGTGAGAAGGGTAATAATAGATGATTTGTTACAGTCGAGGGATAGCATGTCTGACTATATCATAGTCGACGAGGAGATAACCGGGGCTTAGGCCCCGGCAGCAACCCATCTTTGCCGGCAAGCAGCTCCGCCGCGTTGAAGACCTCGCCGGTGATTATCCCGGTCTTTGAGAAGACCGCCGCCGCCGCCACCTCCTCTGCCGCCGTCGAGGTCCCCAAGCCCGAGGCCACCGCCGCCAAGTCCTCCGAGGCTATGCCCGAGGCTGCAGTTGACTTTGTCGACTGTAGCCTCGGTGAAAAGGGTAAGAATGAGTGATTTGATACAGTCAAGAGACAGCATATCTAACAATATCATAGTCGACGAGGAGATGACCGGGGCTTAGGCCCCGGCAATAACCCACCTTGCTGGCAGTCATGCAACTGGAAATTGAAGGGGATTCTGATCGGGCTGGTACCGTTTTTTTTTTCTTTGAAAGGGGGGCTGAGACGTAAACACGAAAATCAAAGTCGTTTGTATGGAACCGTTTGAAACCGTTGATCTGTTCTCAGTGTCCTCTTGGTAGTGAAACGCGAGCTCAGCCTACCATGCCGTGAAGAGCAACACTCACGGACAATGAAAAGAATAGTAAAAGATCATCATAATAGAAGCTTATACTTTGAAATTATTTAACGGATTATTGTATAAATTTTTCATAGCTTTATGGTTATCTTTAGAGGAGATTATGGTCATATCTTCATTTTGTCGTCTCTTGACTCGCGTATTGAATGTGGTCGGAGGCGCCTGTGCGGCTCCGGATGGGTCCATACACCCATCCATGTACAGTACTTCGCGTCTGGGGAACCCCACGGGTTCAGTGGGACCCGGCCCGTGCCGTTTCAACGACATCAATGGACGTCAAGGGAACATCCACCACATTATCTGTGGAACATTTATATCATATCTCAATACGTATGTCTTCGAGAAATAGATGGTAGTGTCAGGCTATTCAGCCTTGCTTGTCATTGGAATACAGAAGTTGGTCAATCATGGGCATGACTCAATATGGTTGTTGTGAGCCAGCACTTGTTTCGCCAAGTTGACATGGACATCACAAGGGCGAACACGCTGGGTGAATACATGCCTCCATTTTTCACATATTGCTTAGAGTTGAAGTCTCTAGAGAAATCTTTCTGGTGCGTCCAATACATATGAACCAAAGCATGGTTATCTCCACGTATCTGGAAAACACAAGTGCGTGATATTGGACTGATACGGGGAGGTGGGCAGTCATCCAAGGGCACCTCAAGAGGGATTTACGGCTTCGTATGCTATCTTGCGCTTTCAGGCACACAAGAGGATCAGCCGCACGACCGCCAGCTCTTGATGCTGGTGACCCGGAGCAATTGGTCCTCGAGCAGTTCATCCGGTCTATCAGGGCTCGGTCCATCAGGGCTCGGCCAGTCAGGGCTTGAGGCTGCGCACACATCCTTAGGGTCCTTAGGGTCTTGGGATTCAAGCGCACATTTAATCCATCTGAAAAAAATTTTCTGGGGGGAGATTCTTCTCCTCTTCAACCCATCGCGAGACAGTGAGTCCACCCCCCCCAACCCCATGAAACTCGCCAACGATCCGCGCTGTGCACCTCTGGCCAATCTGGTATGATCGTCATTCGCTTGCCTGTATCATGTTTCATCAAGATCTTCTTTTTCCGAAGGCTCTTCGAAGAAAGCGGAAGTGCACGCAGAGATCGAGGTGAGGTAGATGCGAGAACGACCTCTCCATCTTTCCCACATCCCTCCCATATCCCTCTCGCCTCTCTTTTCTTCATTGTCTATAATATGAATCAAGCTGACACATACTTGTAGGTCTTTTTTTTTCAACATCACATCTTTGTTTCGGTAAGTAGATCCCGCCCGTGAATCAATGCGTTCAGACGAGTTAACCGTGATCTAGCAACCAATGGGCAAGCCTCATTCCCTTCAAGGTGTCATGATCACATCTGACAAAGTCTTAGACCCCCTTCCTCACGTGGTGTTTGGCGCCGGCGTGGATTTGTCCAAGCTGACGCCGGCCCAGCTGTACGCCTTGGGCGCTGGGTTGGCAGCTGGGGCCGATGCCCCAGCTGCCAGGATGAAGAAGACCAAGGGGGGCCAGAAACCCCGGGCCAAGCCTAAGCCCAAGCCCAAGCCCGAGCCCAAGCCTCCCGTAAGTATACCACGACAAAGTCATATCATCTTCTACCCAGCCTGACAGTGACTCACTGCCCATGAAACAGGGACAGGGGACCTCTGTGTTCGCCCAGAGGCGCCGAGAGAAGGCGGCAGCCAAGGCTGAGGCCAAGGCCAAGGCCGAGGCTGAGGCTGCCCCTTCCTCCTCCCCCTCCACCACCTCCCCCTCCGCCGCCGCTGCTCCCGCCAAGACCCCCGCCGAGTCCGAGCCCGAGCCCGAGCCTGCTGCCGAGGAGGCCGAGGCTGCAGTCAAAGTCGACTGCAGCCTCGAGGAGATAACGTTGCTGGCAAGCAGCTTGAGGATGACCGAACTCTCTCCGACTACAACATCCAGAAAGAGTCCACCCTGCACCTGATCCTCGGCCTTCGTGGTGGCATGCAAATCTTCGTCAAAACTCTCACCGGAAAGACCATCACCCTTGAGGTGGAGCCTTCCGACACCATCGACAACGTCAAGTCCAAGATTCAGGACGAGGAGGGTAAGTTCTTCGTTATATCTGCTTTGAGTTCTGTACTGACGTTTCATTCATAGAGACTGGTCAATCACGTGTTTTTTTTCCCCCCCGCGGCGGTCGCTGTTGTGGTTTCTTTTTCTTTTCTTTTTTCTTTGTAATATCAAATGGAAGCCAGTTGTTTGTGTGCTCTGAGACCATGAATGCCTTGGCCCAGTGACTCTGCCATAGTGATGTTCACAGCCTCCGTAATCCTTCAAGCTGTCTAGGTAACCGACAACTTGGAACGACAGAATGATGAGTATTAGGATAAACATCATCTAAACTCAAGCACATTTCCGCAAGTTTTCATAAGGTAGTTAAGGTAAAATGATATAAATTTAAGAAATAATTAATTGCTTTTATCCTAAGTTTAGTACGCATCACAAACTCGGCATTCGGTCACATAGGGCACTACGAGCGATTATCATAGAGTTATGAAAGTGAGTTGTAATAGGAGACTCGGCTTCCAGTTGATATCCATATTTGATTACTACCCTAAGCTAAGCAACTGACCCATATGCATCAGAGCTCCTCGTATTGCCGGCTGGGGAGGAAGCCTGTTAGTGGCTGGAGGGTGTGCGTTTCGTGTTCTGTGTATTCCAGCGGGAGGATCTGGGTTCTGCGTATTGCCGGTGGGAATGACTGGGTTCTGCGTGCCAGTGGGAGAATCTGGGTCCTGCGTATCGCTGGTGGAAGTGACTGGGTTCTGCGTGTGAGGGACTGCATTCTGCGTATTGCCGATGGGGGGATTGATGGTCTGCGCACCGACGTGAAGATCTGGGCTCTGCGTGCCGGCGGGAGTGACTGGGTTCTGCGCGGGAGGGGTTCTGCGTATTTCCAATGGGAGGGACCTGGTTCTGGCCACCTCCTCCAGCGCCGGCATGCCGGGGGAGGTGCCGTGCGCGACGCCGCATCCGGGCCTTCTGCTGGTTGCTCTACATAACCAGTTAGCCATCGCACCTATTGGACATGCATATCAAGAGAGAACTCACGAGGGGGCCGCCACTCCCCCCACAGCCACCTCCGAAGCCATGCTTGCCTCCATTCGGGCGGCGGCCACCGGCGGAGAAGTTAGTGAATGTGCCACCGTTGATTGTGATATTCGCCATGTTCTAAGTAATAATGAGTTAGCAGCGATCATTGGGTAGGAGTGAGGAGTATGTGCTGATCTCTGCGAGCAGAGCAAAGCAGGGTCACAACAGCGCAAGAGATGGGGGATATCCAGGGAAAGGGCAGGAAATGAAGGAAAGCAAATAGAGAAATGTCTCTCAGAGTGAACGAGGTTCATACCGATGGCGATCATCGAGGCGAAGGGGGCATTGCTTACGAGTGGGTGGTGGTGATGATCCCGAATCTGAAGTTGGCCGCCAGCGGGGCACCGTAGATAGGCCGTCGTGTGTACTTAGGTGCCCCCCAGCGGCCGATGCTTTGGTAAGGTATCTGGCTTGTTGGCCACGGTTGGCGCTCGCATTGGAGCTGATGGTGAAGTGTTGAACATGTCTGTGTTCGTAACCGTGGTGATTTTTGATGCTCGTGGCGATGACCTGAAGATGCGGGGGAAAGAATGTGATTAAGAGTGACCGTGACAGTGGAATTTCTTTGAGTCGGGTGTGCCCGTACTCCGTGCTCCTTCCCATATGCCGGCATCGCTCCGGCCTCGGGCAGGTAGATGCCCATCAAGGAGGCAACAATCTGCTTCAAAGCCACAGCTCCCCAGCCACTGTTCGAGCATTGCCAAACAGGGGAGATGAAGTTGGGACCATTTCACTGTTGTGTAATCAGGTACAGATAAGTGCTTTCGTCTTCCATCTATCTTAACACGTTCTATGAGCCTTGAAGGACTCACCCACGCCCAGTTCGTTACGTGGCCATCGGCAGGGGCAAGGAGAGATGGAGCGATAGAAATTACACCTAGCTCAATTCTACTACATGACGGAGGTCGGGAAAACGGCGGCTGAGCCTCAGGACATAAAAAGTCTACGAAAACGTCAATAAAAAGACTTTACTCAAGTGCCAACCTGGCTTACTCGGCGTAGGTTATAGCCTAGTATGGAGCTCTTCCAGGAACCCAGTCATAATCAAGAGTTGTAACATCAACGCCGGACGAAGACTGGTACTCGCTATGACAAGGGAGATCCTGCCGATACCTCGTACCTCAATCAACCCCCTTGAAGCCCACAATGCAGGTGGCGGAGTGGTCGCGCAGAGAGGGGTTTGTATGATCCATTACCGAGCGATAGAATGGGCTCTCGGTGGCCCAGGTTCGAAAGTGCCACTGCGTTATGAGCACTGCGTTCGAAGGTCCGGATGGCTTGCTTCACGAGGGTCAAAATCTCGATCTTGTCGCTGGACGACTCTTTAACATTCTTGATGAAGGCGGCTCACTTCTCATCAATGCTGAGATCGTGGCTTGTCCAATCGTCGTTGACGATCACAGAGTCCCCGGTGGGATTCATCAAAGAAGCTGGGCGTCAGTCAGAGCACCAGGTGCACTTATGGAGGAAGGCCTTCAGGGAGTCGAGATACTCCCACGTTGGCAATCCTACGCAGAGTGTCAACAGAATTTCCGACCACGAGTTTGCATTCTCGTAGTAGACACCGAGGTAGGCGAGAGAACTTCTCGCGTGTCCTCAGAAAAGGAGGTGTCGTGGTTAGACTCGTCAGGGGCAGGGCCCTTCTTGTCGCCCTCGTTCTCGTCGCCGTCGCCTTCGTCGTTGTCGTCGTTATCGTCATTGTCTTCGTCGTCCTCGTCGCCCTCGTCGTCCTCGTCGCCCACGTCGCTCTCCGTCTTATCGGCCACTCTGCTCTCCAGGGTGGCCTTCTCGGCCCGCTGCTCAGGGTCTCCTCCAAGCTCGATGTCGGCCATGCCCAGACCAGCTGGCTCACGAAAGCCGACGTGGTTGCTCCTTGGATGTTGGAGCCGGGTACTGAAGTCTAGGCTTCAATCCGTCTTGGTCTTCTTGGCCGCGGGCTGTTCCTGGCCCTCGGGGCAGCGCTTGGGAATCTTGGGGAAGTAGCGCTCCATCGTATCTAAGCAGTTGAGATTCATTTAGGGGTGGCTGTTTTGAGGCTTCGATGGTCGTGATGATGATTTCGAATTGTGAGAAAACGGAAGAAGCAGGACGTTTGCGATTTTTTCGAGATGTTCAGCAAGCTCCACCTCCTCTTCCTGGGTATACACGGTGAATCTTTCTGGGCAGTTACAGAGCATATTGTCGAGCTACCGGCCAACACACCTGCTACCATGGTGAAAAGCGGCCTGGATATCGGGTCCCACGGTGGTCATTCCCGCTTCTACGGGTGAACATCCATTAACAGACCGTCGGGTGTCATTTACTGGAACGAGCATTGGGCAGCCCCCCGAGCGTGCCATTTCTTGATAAATCATCATCAGCATCTCAACATTATGCTTTGTAATAGTAATCTAAACATGATATGAAATAGTCCAACGTGAAATGAAATCTCTACTAATTGTTGATCTAACTTTTATACAATACTTGCTTAGGTCTCTGTTAATTATTTATAGTGTTTTTGATGAGATGGAAAACAAAACGGTGTCAAACACGTCCATGTCGAAACAAACCACCGCAACCGCCAGTGCAACCACCAGCCCGAAAAGAAAAGACCCATCTGCAACCGTGAAACGTTAGTACAGGCCTCAAAGCAAATATGACGAAGAACTTACACTCGAGTTGCTTTCCACAAAGATGAGTTGTTGTTGGTTGGGAGAATGCCTTGCCCTGATCTTTGACTTCCCTTGTCGATGGTGTCAGACTATTCCACCCCAAGGGCCATGGTCTTTCCGGTGAGGGTCTTGACAAGGAGTTGCATACCACTACGAAGGTGGAGTACCAGGTGCAGGGTGAGTTTCTCTGAATGCCATTGTTAGATTTGATACTACCTCTCTCTCTCAAATCATTTGACCTTACCCTCTACTGAGGAGGAGGGGCGGGCGCCGCACCACCAGGTCGGTTACGGGCCTATTTTATCAGGAGCCACTATCGAGACAAGGAGTCAGAATAACTTACATATCTGGCCCGGACCCGGCGGCCCTGCCTGCCCGCATGGGGGCCAAAGACTGGGCCGGCAGCTGCCAACCCGCCAAAGATCGCCCGAAGCTGGGCGGGGGAGAGCGCCGCGAGGTCAACGCCAGCGCCGAACACAACGGACCCGTTGATGTAGATATTGGTCGCTAAGGACTTGTTAGTAATGGCCATAATACTGAGAGGAGGCTAAGATTTACTCATGCTGTCGAGATGGGGAGTGCGTTTCTGAATCACTGTTAGTTACCCGAAGCAAGTAGCTCAAAATTGGTGTTTACTTACCGAAATGATGATTTTTTTGGATGAAAGATGATGCAGACAAGGGGATTCCGATCATGATGGACCGGCCAGCCAGAAGCACACAACACGGATCGATAGAGGGTTCCATGAGCTCGAGGGTAGACCCGCGGTCGCGTTCTCTTTACCAGCGAGAGGATCTTGGTTCTGCGTATTTAGGAGGATCTGGGGCTCTCACACTCGATTCCTGCGGGAGGAGCAGTCTGCGTGCTACCGCGGCGTCAAGGGACAGTTTTCGGTCGAACGAGATCTTTGGTGAGATTGGAAGTGAAAGGATTAGAAATTCTGGCGGGAGGAGAAATGTTCACCGCGTTGCGGTTTCCGTTTGAGACGGAAGGCAGGTGAGTGGGCGACACCGTTGCGATAGAAGGCGAGGTCTGCTACGTCCCTGGTTCGAATCCAGGTATCACTAATTCTTTTGCTCTTTTTTCGCCTTTCTTCAAGGGTAATATTTGCATCTCCCTCGTTGAGCATTACACTTGTGTTTTCCTTCCGGTTCTCCCGTCCACTAGTACCCCAGATGTATCTGGACCTAGATTCCAGCGGTTCTTCTCCCAATGGCATCCTTATATAGCAACGACAACTTGCTCATAATTTCGCATGTGGTGCTGTTGAAAAGGTGGATATGGCGGGCTATTAGATCGTGAGTGCGCGCGTACAATCTTCGCCCTCCGTATGTTGATTCCATCCATGAATCAGTGCGTTCGGATGAGTTAACAAAGGTTATGATCATGTCTAACGACTGCTCAGGTTATCTCGAGAATTGCGATGGCCCTCGGGGCACTTGGACTTGTCCAAGCTCACCCCAGCCCACCTGCACGCCTTGGAGTCTTGCTGTTGGCCTTGTGCCAGTCTTGAAACTTAGGCGGAATTGCCTTCGATCTTGTCTCTCGTGAATTAGATCATGTTGTCCTAAGAGTAGCCATAAAGGACAAATAAAAAGGATCTAATATCTTGAAAAGATTAGATTATTATCTTAACATATTTGTGTGAATTTACTCATCAGTCCTGAGAAGAGTTAGATCTTTGTCATTCTGGTGTCCTTGACCTACGTGCCAGGCTTGCCGTGAAATCTCTTCCCAACATTTTAAAGAGATTTGAGTTGATACAGATACCAGCGAGTATTTCCATTCTCGTTCTGAGATGGTGTTTGTTATGTGATCTTTGCAGGGGTAACAAGATTCAAGGGAACCCTTTGTGGTTTGACGGGAGAGATGGAACCTCTATACATCTCGATGCAACAACCACGATGAGGTTTTTGGTATACCTTAGACGGAGCCATGCAACACAAAATCATTGACGAGAAGCCCTACCACAGACAAAGTTTGTTTTCAATAGCGAAAACAATAAATTCAACCAGCTTGCAAGGCTTGAGGCGATGTTAAAGCATTTCATCGGAGTGGCACCGGGTAGTGCCAGTGGAGGGGCAGTGAGTGGGGCTTGGCGCTTGCTCAACCACAGGTTCAGCCAACTTTACATCATCATCAACCACCTTTCTGATCAACTCAACTCTGTTTTCTTTCACAAAATCGTCTCAATTCTTTCTCATCAATGCCGCTCATCGAATAGACACATCCTCTCGAAGGCTGAAAAGATAGGCCCTGAAACGACAAGGGTGCTGGACCAACCCGGCACTGTAACAAGGACCGAACGGGTGGCTTTCCGATCCATCATGGCATGTTTACGGCTTCTTCCAGGGATGGCTGCAGATGGCAACCGGACCGGCTCGTCAAAGTATATCAGTTCGTTCGGGTTCATGTTGGTAGGATCAAGATAAAACAGGAAACAACAAGCTCTCGTTGACTAACGAACAAGAGGCCCGCGATGCACCCTCCAACTTGCGCCGATGCACCCCACGCTCGGAAGCATGTGATGGAGAAGATCATCCGCCAGATCGACAACCCCACAATGCCAATCGATTGACGGTTGTTTGATCAGTGAATTGTCGATGAGATGGTTGCAGGTGACCAGAGAGTCCTACGCAACTGCGATTCCTCAAAGCCGAGGCCTGTCTACTAATCTCGCTACCGTCTTACTACACTCAGCAGATATGTGTGTATGCGACAACAAACCTTCAGTGGACCCGTGCCAGGCAGTCAGCTCAGTAGGGAAATACGCCGCGCAGCCGGAAGCACCTTGCTGCCACTAACATGAAAACGTGGGCGGTTGACGGACGACTCCAAGATGCCGGAAGCACGCACTTTGCGACACAAGGCTGAGTCGGAAGCACAGCTCATTTGCGCAGTGTCGGGCATCTCTCCGACCTGCAGGGCCCGCGCCGCCATACAAGGTACGCGATGCAGACACGGGGCGACGGGACGGGAACAGGAGGCCATTCACAGCCTGTTCCATCCGAGGTTGTTTGAGCGGTGAGATGAGGTTGACGGCATCGTCAGCTAGCGTGCCGCCAGGGTCTCAGACCTTACCTTGCGGCTAATTAAGTCGTCCCGCGGCTCGAGAACCATGACGCTGAAGCGCTCGAAGACAAAAAGGGAAATGCTAGCGAATAAGATGGAATTCGCTCGATTGCGGTGAAGGGCTGAGGCTGGATTATGCCTCGATCATTCAGCTCCGAGGCGATGCTATGCTGATGGCTGACCCGTGCAAGTTTGATGATGACATGCTGGAGGTTCAAGACGAAAACAACCTGGTTCCGAGCTCACAGACCAGACAGATCTTTGTCAGATCCTATGCCAGCCGCCCCATGCGAACGCGGGCAATGCAGGCGGATACGCGTAGCTTCTTCTCAAGAGATGCAAGAAAGACGCTAGGCAAGCCTCTGGGGCATCTTTGAGGACCCCGAATCAAGTCAGCCTCAGCGGCGCCAGGTCATTTTCCGTGAAGAAACGGATGCTGGAATCGCGTGCGAGCTTGTTTGCTCCCGCCATCTTCTCGGCGACCACCAGGATGAGGCCGATCTTCTCTTGGAATCGTTAGCTGACTGCCAGCAAGCGAGGTGAGGGATGAAAAGGGGTCCTCGGCCGTGAGCTCGGCGCAAGCCAGCACCAGTCATGCAGCTCCACAGAGGTTACGTGGGAGAGCACGCGACTTTGTGCAGCGGCAGTTGTGCATAATTGGGACTTTGTCTACATCTGGACAAGAAACTCCATGATGTGATGGCCTCGGACTTGTGCAGCATAACCGTGATATGCCGTGCATGGGTTACATGGCGGGAAAGCCATCGACTGACCTAGGAAAAGAAAACGCTCGCTCGTGGCGTCTGTCTTGGGCGAATGAGGTCAGCGGAGCGACACTGAAAGGAGCACATCTGGCACTCGATCTGGCCCACGGGGCAGTGCCCCAGCCCAACGCTTGCTGACGGCCAAGGCCTGAAGGAGTTTTTCTCATCTCTTGCAGCCCGGCAGACTGGGTTAGGTTTACCAAAGATCCAAACCAAGAGGGGGATCATCGCTGATGGCGGCATGATGGAGGAATGAATCAAGACGGGACGGTTTCACCGCCACAGTCGCTCTCGCCGTACCTCGCAGGGCGCTTGCATGTGCATCTTGAGATGCTCATGAGACCTGGAACCCGAGGCAAGAGGTTGACAGAGGGTGTGCTGATCTTGCTCTGTCTTTGTTGACGGCCTTGATGTCCGTTGAAACCCTTGGCAGCGCTTCTTTGCTTTGCTTTCGTCATTCATCTTATGCCAGCGGAACTATGACCCAGAGCACGCAACCGTTGACGTATGAACCGTGTTTCTCGACTAGTCAGGAACAAAAGCCCGCGCATCGTTGCGTACATGCTACGTCTTGTCAAAGACCACCTTCTGGCTCTAGACAATCGCCCGTGCTACGTGTGAAGAGGCATATTCCCTGATTTGGTTGTCAGCCACGCGACAGGGCAGAGGAGACCGTTGGGCGTCATCAGCATCAAGAGCAAGTCAGCAAAGCCACAGTAGCACCTCGCCGACCCGTCATCAGCTGAAGGATGATGATCCATCACTTGATAAGCGGTGTCATTTGCGAGCCAGACAAAGCATTAGACAAGACAGTCACAGAAGGCAGAAGACATTCGCACAATACAGTCAAAGACAGACATTTCTTCTCAGCAAACATCCATCGTCGCCACCAACTCCACTTGATGACACCCCTGGAGTCTTTCTCTAACAAACTTGTGCAGACCTTACGGCCGGCCCCGAGCTGAACATTGGACGTCAATCAAAAAAGGTCCATCTCTTACGGCCTCTCCCATCACTCCAAGTCACCTCACGGGCGCCACAAACCCGTATTGCCGCCATTCAGACACTCTCTTCCGCTTCATTATCCAAAGACTGATGCAAGCCGGGATATTGACAACCGGTTGATCCCCTTTCTCCCTCAAAAGAGACAGGGCCCGCTGGCGTGCGTTTGCTGGCGACAAAGCCGTAGCCTGGTTTGGTTGCCTGGGTCCCCTGTCCCGGCGCTGGGCGTCCACCACACCTAACCAGCCGCCTCCACCGCCAGAGCCCAGCAAGCCCAGCTTGAGGTTAATACCGCCTAGGCGGAATCCTTGTCTAGCAGTGTCTAGCAGAGAGGCTCAGCCTTACTCTTGGTGAATCCCCCTTGGTCAGCTCTCCACCCGCTCGCTCGTGTTGCACTCCCCTCGGTCAATATATACACACGCGGCTTGGTCTATATAACCTACCCTCCCCCCTTCTTTTTCCCCGAGTATAGTTTTGCGTGGCTGCTGTCGTGTGTGTGCTCGCGTGATTCCGCCCTTCAATTCAAGCATTCCCTCGTAGACGAGTTTGTTCTTTGCACACACACGTACACGCCGAATCATGAGAACCGGCTTTCTGGGCTGCATAGGATCGAGGATTGGAAGCGTCACCACCAACAAGCAAACATGAACATGAACATGAAGCTGGCTCAAGAAGACATGATGGATAACGACGACAAGAACTGCCGCTACGAAGGCTACTTTACCTACCGACCTCTCTCCAACCTTCCCACACCGCCCCCGAGCTCTCGTAACTCGTCGGCAGCTCAGTCTCCGAGGACGACACTTGATGATGGGGAGCCATTGATGGCCCGGTTCAGAGGTGAGTCTAGGGTTCCAACGTCGCGTTGTTTCTCATGGATTCGTTATCCGTATCAAGGACGTCAACTAATTCGGTTACTTGCAGGCCCCGCCATCCACCTCGTCAACCTCATCCCCTCGTCGGCCTCCCTGGCCACCGCCTCTGTGCCTCTGGTACAGGCCATCCTCAGCCGCGCAAACTTGCCTATCGAGACGGTTGCTCTTGCGGTGTGCATTCTCGACAGCCTCGACTCTCGATTTGCCCGTCGATGGCGTCTCTCGTGCCCTCTCCTCTCCGACTACTTTTCCTCCGCATCTAAGCGACACACTCTCCCCGCGGCTCCTATTGTTCAGCGACAGCAGCTGCACATCGATTCGGTCAACCCCGAGCTTATTATCCTCGCGGCACTTGTCATTGCTGTCAAGTTTACTGAGGACCCTCAGGACGCTTCACAGTACTATTGCAAGGTCTGGGGACATGGCATGTGGTCTAACCAGCAGCTCAATGTTACTGAGCGGTGCATCATGGAGAACCTCAACTACCGCATCATGCCTCTTTGTGAGGATGACTGCCTGACGGATGCCATGGTGGATATGCAGCTGGCTGCGCAGGCACCCGACTGGGAGATTCACGCCTACAACCACCCCGACAGCGCCTCGAGCGACGACGATAGCGAAGAGAATAACTACATCCCCACCCACACTCGGTCCAAGACACTTAGCTCAGGCAAGGCGACACTGGGCCTAGGCCTCTCCCTCACTCCAGTCGATACCCCCACCGTGGAGGTTACCCAGACGACCGGCACGACTCGACCGTCGAGAGTATCCGACGACTATTTCAAGCACTTTCAGGCATGAGATGATATAAAAATGGGAATTGGCGTTTTGGTTTACGGCATCGACGAGGCGTTTCCTTGGATACCACCACGTATAGCGATTTGGCGACTCGATCCGGCATCAGCATCCTGCATGCGTCGCTTTGATTTGACTTTTATGTATCTGATCAGCCTTGCCTTGAGTGGCTTGGACAGAATTAGCGTTTGTAATATGGGCATTGGGCTGGACTGGACCGGACTGGACCTGGGATTTGGATGAGCATCTATTTGGCTCAGGTATGGCATCAACTTTGGGTTCATGGGTCGGGCACGTTTTTCGGCATCTAGGCCAGGATTACACATACCCCTTACCGTATATTCTGGTCAATAATGTTCTATTAATGGTTCCCGTACAAACCGATCCTTGGCGTGCATTTCATCGCGTGATGCCTCCTCCGTCGTTCTCGTGGCTCCACCCAATGCGACCTGTCTTGAAGTTAAACATGATCACTCTGAAACTTGAAGATGCGGAGGGTTCCGATGTATCGTCAACTGACATGGAATTGACCCCTTAATTCTGCTGACCTTTTTTTTTTTTAACCCGGGCCGGTGTGATAAGTGAGCAATGTGGAGGAAATCACGTATTACGTACCACTATACGAGCATGGATTGAGTGCAACTACTTTGGAGCCAACGCGTGATTTAGAATTCAATGGTCAGGTTCAATTGACCTGCATACGGAAGTAGTACATAATGAGCCGTTTATGGACAATGGATTCAGGCAAATCAAGGGAGGGACAGATAGGAATGTCTTGGTGACATGCTCACATGTCTTGGTCGACTAGATAGCTTCAACGACAAAAGTGACTGGTATGTAGCGGTGAATAGTCTCTTGATACCGACTGATAAGTGATGGTAATGGCGGTCACACGGGATGAACATGGTGCCCTTGAATGGATTGCGGGATGCCAACAGGGGAGTACGGGGTTCATGAACCGCTCGGGCTCTCGGGGTCTAGGCATGGCCATATCCCTGGCAATATGGGGGTTGGATGGCGGTAGATTGACGGTGAGACGGTTCATCTGGTCTTGGCTGATTATTGTGCGTAGATAGGCTGGAAATATGGTGTTGCTGCACACATTGTTTACTTCTATTCATCTCGAGATCACTTGTACCAGATGCCAAGTTGCCAGTATCTGTTTGTTGATTCGCCAGCACTCAAGGAAGCTGGAGTCACAGAGAAACTCATATGCATCAAAATCCTGTTACAATTCACCCATAGAGGTACTTCACCAGATTTCCCCTTCAAGCTCAGTTGACATGTCTGCAGCTAGACAAGCAAACGGGATCAAGCTTGTCCACGCCAACCCTATTCCGGGGAGCAACGCAGCAACACAAAGCCGGTTGCACATGTGTGACTAGGAAATAGCACAAACAACTGCCTATTAGCAAGAACCAATGGGTGAACAACTCTAGGGAACGAATGAATCGTGGTGAAGCCATCGCCGCCGCTGTGAGAGCTTCACCAGGGGAATATCATCGCCTCTCAACCAATCAGGTCGTGTGGCCCAATGGCAAGGCGTCTGACTACGAATCAGAAGATTGTGGGTTCGATCCCCATCATGATCATGATCTTTTGCCGTTTGAGCATTCTTTTTGCTCCAAGACGAGACGTTGAGTTTGTTGATTTCGTTGATGCAATTGGTACAAAGAACGTTGTGTGAGAGCACGTGGCAAACACGTATCGGTAATAGAGATACTCTATAGGAGAGACAACGGGTTTGCATGTAAGTAACCGCAATCTGTAACCCATGACAACTATTAACAGAGCAAGCCCGTTTATAGGACTCGAAAACTTGAACCTTGTACTTACATAGCATCCTCACGCTGACAGACTCGCTTCTATTGGCAACCTGGTGCGGCTCAAGTTAGCGCGGCCTGAAAGAATTTCCCGCTTCCACCATCAGCAACTCTCACTCTGCTCTGTAATACCATCAAGCCCCGACAGCCAATACCTACTCCCAAGCAGTGCTTTGACCGATCATCACACTGGCGCAAAGCCATCCGCTCTAATCACAGCCTGGTCCTGCGCTTGTCTTACCCTGGGCGCGCTTCCCTGGCGCCATCCTGGCCTATAGCTCGTCACATCCATCATCCATCTCATCTCATCTCATCGGGAAACACCCAGTTCAAAGGGGTCTCGCTATCGTCTAGACAGCAGCAGCAACAACTGCCGTCTGACAAGGTCCTTTTTACCTGACACGTTTATGCAGGGCAACACCTGGCTGCACACCTTCGGCGCGGTCGGCGTCGAATAGCCGTGACGGAAGTGGTCGACGGCCGTGGCCTCAGCCCCACTGCAACCACGTCCAACCGTCTCCTCCCCAAGCCCAGCCCAGGTTTCCAATCCCGGACCGCGTCCAGCCTCCAGACCAGTCCAACAAGACCTGTCAGTCTGCGCGTCGCTTGCCTCTGTCTGTCTGTCCTCCTCACACGCCCTGGTCGCTGCCGCTGCCGCTACGCGCTTCCGCTGCCGCTCCAAGCGCCTCCCTCCCTGACGCCCCGACGCCATGTACTCCGCCGGCTACGGCTTTGCCAACAATGCTGCTCCCTCCTTCAACAACCCTGCCCCACAGCAGCCCGGAGCCCAGCCAGCCGGCCAGCAGATCATGTATAACCAGCAGCAGCAGCAGCAGCAGTTCGCCGGCATGACTCCCCAGGGAGCCTTTGCCCCCGGCGCGAACCCTCAAATGATGCCCGGTGGTCCTGGGATGATGCCAAACGCCGGCATGCCGCATATGGCTGCCAATGGTCAGAGTGAGTGTCCTGTGCGCCATGTCAGTTGCCGAGCCGTTCGCGACGCGCTCGGGTTGCTGCTGTTGTTCGTGTTGACGACTGCCGAGGTATCAAGATGATATCTAGGTTGAATCGACGCGCGACCGTAGGAGCGCGTCGCAAATCGCTTTGCGCCGTCAGGTGTTGTTTGTGTCTTGTTGAGTCACCATGGCTAATTCTTGAGCAGTGGCAGGATACCAACAGCAATTCCAAGGCGCCCCCTATGGCCAAGTCGTTCCCTCGTCGGTCGGTCCTCAGAGCTTCAACCCGAATTACATGATGGCGGGTGGTATGCAGGGTTTTCAGATGAACCAGGCTGGGATGCCTCAGCAGCAGATGATGCAAAGGATGCAGCAACAGCAACAACCACCGCAGCAACCGAACCCTGCGGCTATGGGTCAAGTGTCGACTCCTCAGAGACCCCCGAGTGCTGCTCAAGGTACACCGACCAACGCCTTACCTTCTCAACAGGGCCAGTTCCCGACCCCTCAGCCTCCATCACAAAGCCAAACACCGACAAACCAGCAACAACCACCTCAACAGCCGCCTCAACCTCAGCAGTCACAGGCGCAGCAGTCTCAGCAGACACCTGCCACAGCTTCAACACCTCAGACACCAACCTTTTCCTCGAATCAAAATCCGGTAGTCAATGGAGGCTCGGCCGTAGCAACACCTTTGAGCCCAGGAACAGAGTCTCGCGAAAAGGAGCGATTTTCTTTACTACTGGACATCAACCATGAACTTCTCTACGAGTCGATACAGCTCCAAATGACGCAACAAGAACTCAAAAAGGAGCATGCGGGAGATGGAAACACTGGTGACAAGAAGCCAACAGAAGAAGAAACACATCTGCAACAAGACTACCTTCAGTAAGTCCAGTGACCTTGATTCTGTGACCCAGCTAACAACTATAGATGCATGAGACGGTTGCAGGCAAACCTATCATATATGGCAGCTCTGGCAGACAGGAAGCCTGAAGTCAAAGTGCCACCATGTCCGCAATATCTCAGTGCTCCCCCTTTGCATCTGAACCTCAAACTCAAAGCACCAGCTTTGGGACCTGATGGTGCAGAGAACAAAATCGATCCAGTGGCAGACCGTGAAGAGCGAGACAAGAGTATCAAAGATCTCTACTCACGGCTACAGGCCGCGTTTCCTACGATTGATCCCAAGAAGGAACCAGTTTATCGCATGAACACGCAAGGCCAGAAGCCAGGCAATGCTGCAAACCAAGCTAGTCCAACGGCTCAAAAGACACCTCAAATGACCAACATGCCAGCACCTCCAATGCCTCAAGGCAGCATGCCCTAAACATTGGGACTGTACATACGATGAAACTTATAGACATCGCGGGAGTTTGGATGGGTTATTCCTTGTGTACGGCATTTACACAGTTTTGGTAGTTGGCTAGTCAGGCTGTCGAAGGATCTTTTACAAGTTTAGCCTCGTGGGGACTGTATAGTTAGAGGCTGTGGTTTGAAGCCGGAGGTTTTAGTTGGCAGTTGGCCTGGCTCGAGGCGTTGGGAGCATTACCCGGGAGGATTCATCATGACAAAATTCAATTCAATATCAATTCACGTGTCAGTATCTACAAGGTTACAGCGAGATCTATGATTCGGACGCGTAGATGCAAAAGATCTCGCTCGCGTGACATGAGCCACATAACATACTCTGGAGTCACTGCGGAAAAGATGCACCTGCATGACGGATTCCGACGGCCCATTTAGCCCATGCTAGAGTAGGTAACTAGATGTATCATGATTGGTCGGAGGAGGAGAAGCGTGAGAGAAAAAAAGATTTTTCATTCTGTGGAGGTGGATGATGAGGAAGTGGGTTTAGCTACGTATACGTAGATGGCGGCCCGGGCGTAGGAGTGCCGTCCTGAAAGTGGTCAATGCCGAGTGGGCGTCAGCTAAGACAGCCTTGCTTTGGGTGACATGACAGTCAATATGCCTCGCTGACAGCTTTTCGACTCTCCGCTTACGGCTTACATGTGCAGCCTGTATAGCTTCTGGAATGGCCATTGGAGTCCGAGGTGATCCACACAGCAACCATTGCCTTGTCTCTGTTACAGTTGATGCCATGACAACCAGCCAGCCACCAGACGCACACCAGAGTCCTCCGTACACGGAGTACGTAGGAGGTCCTCAATACGGCAAGACGGCGACGGCGACCCGTAAAACCCTGACCGCTGATCGTAACCCACTCGCCGAGTCCAACCACCCGACTCAAGCTGGTCGATCGCCCATGATGAAAGGTTCCATGTTAAAGGCTTGAGAGGTTCGGCCAAGGCACGGCGGGGCGCTTTAGTGTCCCTGCAGCATCACAGGAATGCAGAGATTGGACGCTGATGAGGAGTCGACCTCCAATTGACCAATCAGAGACTCCTCTTGCCTTGCGCTAGCGGCGGCGGGGAGCAGGGCCCTGCTGTTCTGCTAAGCAACAGGCCGGCCGATAAAAAAAAAAAAAAAAGTTCGAGTGCCGCCGCATTCATCAACTCTCTCTTCCATCTCTTCTCCTCCAAACCCTCCGCTCCTCCTCTCCTCACCTTCTTCCTCCGCAAGCTGTTGTCGAGGCTGATGATTGCGGAATAGCTTCTGACCTGACCAGGGGAGCTCTGAAAACGAGTTTTCTTGACGGCCGTTGCTCGCAATCTCGCTGTCCCACGACCAACACCCTCTTTCTGCCCCGCGCTCTCGGGCGCTCTTGAGGAAGCTTCTCTTTTTTTCTACACACAACAACATCATGTCTATCACTTCTCTACCTCCGGCTTCGGCTCGCCAGGTCGGCTCTGAGGATGATGGCCTCGTCTGCCTCGAGCTCGAGGATGGCTCTTCCTTCCAGGGTTACAGCTTTGGTGCCAAGAAGAGCATTGCTGGTGAGCTAGTCTTCCAGACTGGCATGGTGGGGTATCCCGAGTCCGTCACAGATCCCTCGTACAGAGGACAAATCCTCGTCATCACCTTTCCTCTGGTCGGAAACTATGGTGTCCCCTCTCGAGAGACCATGGATGAGCTCCTCGGTGACCTGCCAGCTCACTTCGAGTCGTCCCAGATCCACATTGCTGGACTGGTGACAGCCTCATACTGCGGCGAGGACTTTTCTCACTTCCTTGCTGAGTCGTCCCTCGGCACTTGGCTCAAGGAGCAGGGCGTCCCCGCCATGTACGGCGTCGACACTCGCGCCCTTACCAAGAAGATCCGTGAAAAGGGTAGCATGCTGGGCAAGATGCGCCTCGAGGCTCCTGGCCTTGCCAACGGCGCCCTCAACGGCCAGGTCGATGCTCCCCTGGCCGCTACCCCTCTCGAGCACTTTGAGCAGATCGATTGGGTCAATCCTAATACCAAGAACTTGGTGGCAGAGGGTGAGTCTTTCAACTTTTGTAGAAGGCGCATGCTCATCGTCGTGTAGTTTCCATCAAGGCTCCCAAGCTGTATAAGCCTCCTCCTTCGGTCGCCCGTAAGCACCCGTCAGGGCGTACTATCCGTGTCCTGTGTCTCGATGTCGGTATGAAGTACAACCAACTGAGGTGCTTCCTCAAGCGTGGTGTCGAGGTTCTTGTTTGTCCCTGGGACTACGACATTGCCAGCGCCATTGACGAGTACGACGGTCTTTTCCTCTCCAACGGTCCTGGTGACCCCGCCGTGCTCGAAAACACCATCAAGAACATTGCTACCGTGCTTGAGAACAACAAGATTCCTGTCTTTGGTATCTGCCTGGGACACCAACTTCTGGCCCGCGCCTCTGGTGCCAGGACCACCAAGATGAAGTTTGGTAACCGTGGTCACAACATTCCCTGCACCAGCATGGTCACCGGAAAGTGCCACATCACCTCTCAGAACCACGGTTTCGCCGTCGATGCTGCCAGCTTGACCAATGGCTGGAAGGAGCTCTTTGTCAACGCCAACGATGGCAGCAATGAGGGTATCATGCACGCTGAGAAGCCCTACTTCAGTGTTCAGTTCCACCCTGAGAGCACTCCTGGTCCTCGCGATACCGAGTTCCTCTTCGACGTCTTCATTAACACCATTGCCAACTGCGCCGAGAACCCTGCTCTTCTCCAGGCTCCTGTCAGCTTCCCTGGTGGCACCATTGAGGAGAACGAGCGTCTTCACCCCCGTGTCTCTGTCCGCAAGGTTCTTGTTCTGGGCAGTGGTGGTCTCAGCATTGGTCAGGCTGGTGAGTTTGATTACTCTGGTTCTCAGGCCATCAAGGCTCTGAAGGAGGAGGGCATCTACACTGTCCTGATCAACCCCAACATTGCCACGATTCAAACCTCCAAGGGTCTGGCGGACAAGGTTTACTTCCTTCCCGTCAATGCCGACTTTGTCCGCAAGGTCATCCAGTATGAGCGACCTGATGCCATCTACGTCACATTTGGTGGTCAGACCGCTCTCCAGGTCGGTATCCAGCTCAAGGATGAGTTTGAGGGTCTCGGTGTCAAGGTTCTGGGTACTCCCATTGATACCATCATCACGACTGAGGATCGTGAGCTGTTTGCCCGAAGCATGGACTCTATCGGCGAGAAGTGCGCCAAGTCGGCTTCTGCCAGCAACATCGACGAGGCCATGCACGTCGTCAAGGACATTGGCTTCCCTGTCATTGTTCGTGCTGCTTATGCTCTTGGTGGTCTTGGCAGTGGTTTCGCCAACAACGAGGATGAGCTCCTCGACCTCTGCAACAAGGCTTTCGCCGCCAGTCCCCAGGTTCTCATTGAGCGCAGTATGAAGGGCTGGAAGGAGATTGAGTATGAGGTTGTCCGTGACGCTCAGGACAACTGTATTACCGTCTGTAACATGGAGAACTTTGATCCTCTCGGTATTCACACTGGCGACTCCATCGTTGTCGCGCCTTCACAGACTTTGTCCGACGAGGACTACAACATGCTGAGAACAACAGCTGTCAACGTCATTCGGCATCTCGGCGTCGTGGGAGAGTGCAACATTCAGTATGCTCTGAACCCCTTCTCCCGCGAGTACTGCATTATCGAGGTCAACGCTCGTCTCTCTCGATCATCGGCTCTCGCCTCCAAGGCCACCGGTTATCCTCTGGCCTTTATCGCTGCCAAGCTCGGTCTCGGTATTCCCCTCAAGGAGATCTCCAACTCGGTCACCAAGGTCACTTGTGCCTGCTTCGAGCCTTCGCTCGATTACGTCGTGGTCAAGATGCCTCGATGGGATCTCAAGAAGTTCACCCGTGTGTCCACTCAGCTTGGTTCCTCCATGAAGAGTGTGGGTGAAGTCATGAGCATCGGTCGATCGTTCGAGGAAGCTATCCAGAAGGCCATCCGAGCTATCGACTTCCACAACCTCGGCTTTGGCGAGACCAAGGCCTTGATGAGCATTGACGATGAGCTCCAGACTCCCTCTGATCAGCGTCTGTTTGCTATCGCCAACGCTATGCACGAGGGCTACACTGTCGACAAGATCTGGGAACTGACCAAGATCGACAAGTGGTTCCTCCGCAAGCTCAAGGGTCTGAGCGACTTTGCCAAGAAGATGACCAGCTACAGCACCACCGACATTGCTACCAGCCCGTCAATTCTGCTGCAGGCCAAGCGTCTCGGTTTCTGTGATCGACAGCTCGCCAAGTTCTGGAGCTCCAACGAGATTGCTGTCCGCCGCCTGAGACTCGAGGCTGGCATCCAGCCCTTCGTCAAGCAGATTGATACCGTTGCGGCCGAGTTCCCTGCCTTTACAAACTACCTGTACATGACATACAACGCCTCGGAGCACGACGTCAACTTTGAGGATCACGGTGTCATGGTCCTGGGTTCTGGTGTGTACCGTATCGGTTCCTCAGTCGAGTTCGATTGGTGCTCAGTCCGCGCCATCCGCACTCTTCGTGCTACCGGTTTCAAGACCATCATGGTCAACTACAACCCCGAGACCGTAAGTACCGATTATGACGAGGCCGACAAGCTCTACTTTGAGAACATCAACCTCGAGACTGTCCTGGATATCTACCAGCTGGAGAACTCGAGCGGTGTTTTGGGTGCCATGGGTGGTCAGACCCCCAACAACATCGCCCTGCCCCTCCACCGTGCCGGTGTCAAGGTCCTGGGTACTTCCCCTGAGATGATTGACAACGCCGAGAACCGATACAAGTTCTCTCGTATGCTTGACCGCATTGAGGTTGACCAGCCCACCTGGAAGGAGCTTACTAGCTTCGAGGAGGCCAAGGCTTTCTGCGACAAGGTCTCGTACCCTGTGCTTGTGCGACCTTCGTACGTTCTCTCTGGTGCCGCCATGAACACTGTCTACTCCGAGAAGGATCTCGAGACCTACTTGGCTCAGGCTGCCGAGGTCTCC